GAGGGAGAGAGAGAGGGGGCGGGGGCGGGGGAGGACAACAGCCTTCTTGCTGTCCTCAATTTCACCGGAGCAAGTGAAGTTCTGGCTGATGTGCCTTTGGAGCTTGACGCACTGCTCACGGGCGGGGGTGAGGAGGGGGCGGGAGAGCGGGGTGAGGCGGAGCAGGGCCCCGTATCAGCAGCCGGACCCCCCGCAGCGGAGGGAGAGGGGGCGGGGGAGGACAACAGCCTTCTTGTTGTCCTTAATTTCACCGGAGCAAGTGAAGTCCTGGCCGATGTGCCTATGGAGCTTGACGCACTGCTTGAGGAGGGGGTGGGAGCGGGGGAGAGGGAGGGGGAGGGCACCGTGGCTGCAGCAGCAGCCGCAGCACCTGCTCCTGGGCCTTCCGGGTCTCGTACGCATGGCCGTGCCGTGCGAGATGGGCGCGTCGCAAAGAAAGCCCCGAGAAGGGCGTGGCGTGGCGTGGTGGCCAAAAAGGTTCCACGGCGGCCCCCTCGGAGGCCTGCGGAGGAGGGGGCGGGGGCAGGGGCGGCCAGTGCGTCCGGTGGCGCGCTGCTTACAGGCGGGGGAGAGGCGGGGGAGGGACCGGGGCACGAGCCGGCAGCAGCAGGTGTGGGGTCTCGTAAGGGTCGCGGTGTGCTTGGAGGCCGCGTTGCTAAAAAAGTGCCAAGGAGGGCGGAGCGGGGCGGGGTCGCCAGCAAGGTGCCACGTCGGGCCCCTCGGAGAGTGATGGAGACCGATGACAGATCGTTAACCAGCGAGAGTGATGAGGAAGAGGTGTGTGTATCGTCACCGTCGACTACATTCTTCGATGAGTCCGAGGAAGACACTTTTGAGCTTTGGCCGCCGTTGGGTCAGTCGACGCCACTGCGCCAGGAGGAGGAGGAAGAGAGCAGTGGTGCGATCGAGGACGCGATGGCTTTGGCTTTGGCTAAAGAATATTGTCTGGGAAACCACTCTCAACATTTGTGCGATTGCCACGGATGGGGCGCGTGTTCAAATAACCATTTTCGCAGAGGCTGCAGGTGTAAATTGGAGAAGCCTCAAGCCCCCGCACCTCATGAGAGTGGAGACTCAGACGAGAGTCGTGGCACCAGGGCGAGAGAAGGGGAGGAGAGTGAGGGGGCGGAGGAGGAGGGGGACGACGAGGAGGAGGAGGAGGAGGGGGAGGATG